CATCTCTTAAACTATAGTGAGCATTGATGGCATCTAATCAGCATAACAGTAGTTCATATGAATAAACATTCTACTGAAATACCGTATCTTCATGTCTCAAAATATCTCCCAAGACAGACATGAAGGTACGATATATTGAACCAACATTTCAACACAAAAGCTTACCCTGAAGAAGGCATGCTTTTGTGCTGAAATGTTGACTCCATAAATAATAAGTAAATGATTGGTGTTTTCCCCAATTTAATTGTGACTTTCTTCAAAAGTCTGAGCAAACGTATTTCAGTTTACTCATCTTTCCAAATCCAGCACACAACAATTATGACAGATTTATTGGTATGATCTGATATTGTGCTCTATTTTCATTTTTGATTTTGTTCTATTATTATGCATATAATTTCTAGAAAACAATTTTCAGAACAGTAATTGTTTTCACATTGCTGTGTGATCCTCTCCAGGTTCTGATACCACCTCACCGAATAGCCTAAGTTCTTCACTATTGCTTGCTCAATTGTTATCACTATGTCACTATATCACTAAGTCTAAAAGGTGTTTCAAATTTTTGGTCTTTCACACAGCACCCTATCCCAAATGCAAAGCAAGCAGAAAGAGCTATAATGGACCTCTGAATAAACCATTCTGGTTGTTATTTTTGTTTTTTTTAAGCCATGCGTCTTGAATCTAAACCCCAGGTAACACCACCAAATTAATTTATTGGCCTCCCGTGTTGTGCAAAATTTCCTCCTTAACATAAATGTTTCCAATTATGTTAACTTGGACTCCATTCCTCCTCACATTATCACATTCACAGAACTCCCAGGATCAAGAAGGACTTATGCCCGTACATTTTAAAATGTTATTTATGGGCAGACGTAAGGACTTCTTCATTATAAGATCAACCAGTGAACACATCTAGAAACTACAGGGATGTGCATTTAACACCAAGACCAGGCATTTCTTTACACAACAAGCTACAGGGAACAAGCAACCCAGACGTATTTTTAAAGCCATTGCCCTGGACTGTTCACAACATAGCTGGATCCGATGCTTCAGATCAATTAGCTAATATCAGCCAAACAAACTAGATGGGCCAAATGGTATACTCTAATGTGTAAACTCTTATGTGAATAAGTTAATGTCCCACAAGTATGATGCACAAGATCACGAACAAAGGAGACTACTCACTGTGGGAATTCCTCCCATTACAGATACACCTGCCTTTGTTCTAATTAGTTACTCTAGTACTCCAGTGAAATGGATAAGACTGCCACTGTATTGCAGCCTCATCTATTACAGGTTTTATAACATGCAGACAATAAAACAACATTGAGCAATATTTCAGACCTGTTATTTTTAGTCAAAGCAAAATAAAATGCAGTGCTTTTCTGCTTTATCAATTCAAACTTTATAAGAGCCTACAGCACATAAAATATAAAGGGAGTCAAGTTGCTGTGCTATGGATGTCATATTTGTTTCTCTGGACTCTCCTCTCCATGTGACGAACACCCTCTGTATTGTCAGAGTTAACACAATCAAGAAAAAATAAATGGAAGAATGAACACAGGACCTTCTGTACTCAACGGAACTATAAGCAAAATCACTATACTAAATGAAAAAACCCCACCCTGCAGCAAATTTATCACACAAAAATGCTTGTTTATAATTCATCGGTGATGGTGGCTCAGTTATTACACACTCAGTCTTTATCTATTGTGTTTTTCTATTTTATTCAGATATTTTCCTCCAGAACAAAACGGCATCATAACAATGTGACACTGACTTTCTGAGATTTCTACTCAGGACAGCACATTAACCTAGGACATTGTCAACTATTCCTCAGATATCAATATGCCAAGACATTCCCAAAGACTAGTGCGATGAAAATGGATCAATGAATTGTAATATTAAAAGCAAACTCAAGGATACAAAGTCACAAAAGCAATGTTTTAGAAGAAATAAAGCAATCCTGGAATAGGCTAATCAACATATATTACACAATCTGTTAGAGAAAAGTGCATCGTTATTCTTTTCTAATTTAATTTGTTTCAATTTCAAATCATCAAGGCACTTTTGATTTTAACTATGCCTTAAAACATTCTTAACCCATTTTTCAGATCTCTAAATTCTGTGCTACTTAGTGCTTTTATAGAGGCTGCTGGATAATCTTTAAATGAGCGTCTGTTTTCAAGATATACTGCATTCATAATGTATTTCTCTACAAAATGAGTGTCCATTAACACCCATTCAGAAATACATCAAATGAAAACACTGGCCTGCTAGTCTGTTATCATTCTGTTATAATAATAGTATGAGCACTAATAAATGTTGCACTTGGAATAATTCCCTGGGTTTTAAGTACCCTGACAAGAAAATGTAATTCCAAATACTTTCTGTAGTTTAACATCACAGAACCAGTGAAATCTGCACAGAATCAGAACCTCAAGACCACGACAGCCAAGTTGCTGCTAAATAACACCGCCAAGCAGACACAGCAAAGACGGGGGCTAAACGTCTATTGAAGTCACTGCTGTTCTAATTAAAGTAATACCACACAGACACCCGCCAGTCTACAACTTTGTCAGTCATATCTGTTAGCGATTAATCTATCAGGCTACATTTAAATGATGTGGTTAGTAGACTGTGCTTTGCGATTTACATCTTACTGATTTCATATCCCAAAATTACATTTTGGTGGCCATATAGAACCCAAGTCGTGCAGGATGTGGTTGACAATGCACAGACACACCTACATATAACTAATTTATGAAAAACAGTTAAAACTATACTCAGCATCTGCTCATCAGTAGATGGTGACACTGTTCAATTCCATCCAGATTAATGACAGACGTGCACATTAATGCCGCTTATTGGAAATGATCGCAGGACAATACAACTCTTACACGTTGTGTTTTTGTTTGTTTTGCTGACCTCAATAATTATAACTGGTCAAGAAGTCGACTGTCGGGCATTACTTAGGAGAACTGACAATGTATAATTATTCAGAGAAACACGCCTCCTCGCGCATTACTCCACGTTGAACGAAGGAAAATCCACAAGAATCTCAACTATAACAGGTAGCCGCTTCGTACAATGCTAAGGTACAATGCCTTTATCATCGACAAACGTATGAGTTACCAAACCGTGTCCTACGTGTTGACAAGTGAACGCTCCTTCACTGGGAGGGGGGTCACATGACAGGACACCCCGCGACGAGGCCTGGGAGGGTCATCAAAGCGGACATAACGTCCCGCGACAGCGGAGACAACGACATTTTTACTCGCCCTCTGCACAAGTCCACTTGCCTTGTAATGGTTGCAGTGAACCCGGGGAACGGCCGATCTACAGCTGAACGTAACGTGACCTTGGATAGTCGGCGCTCCCGATCAGATTAAGATGTTCCTGATCGCCGGGGCTTCAGCTCCGGGTCTGCACAGTCAAGCCATGAGGCGCCGTCCCATTGCAAACGGCAAAATCGTCAGCTACCCCAGCTAACTAACCGCATCACCTTCTTTCGACCACCCTAAATTTATAGAGTCGTGTCATGCGTCACCTTGGATGAGCCTTGGGGAATTAGATTAAGACGTTCCTCTCATCGACATCGCAAAACCAGCAGTTTACAACAGCTGCGATAACACTCACGCAGCCAATTGGAAAAGGGAAATGAGCCCGACCGATATTCAACGGTCTCGCCAAGTTTTATTTCTCAGGTTGGGTTTGTTTTATAACATACGGAGGCATTACGCGCATCATTTTAGTGGGGGGGGAAGGGGTAATCGACCTCAAAAATTCGTTTCTGACACCAAGCCTCCTCGGCAAGGGACCTTCAATCATCCACACAATGGGCGAAGCAGCAGAGAGAAAGCCAACTTCACTTGAGCTGAACAGCGTGTGGTGTTTTTCTCCCCTTCCCAATAACAAAGCGATGCTTTGGATTTGGAGAAGGAGGAGGAGGGGTGCTGATGCATGATGTTGACCTTCCTCGTTTTTTCCCCCAAATCTCAGATTTCCTCAGATCTTTCTGGGATCAAGCAACCGTTCTTAACTGGAAGCGTTTTGAACCCTAAACCTAAAATGCAGCTCGACTGCCTTTAAACTTCCTCCCCACTCGTACAGCTAGACGCGATGTAGCGTAACATTAACAGTCAGCCTCTCTACTTGCGGCGCTCGAAGTGTGATCGATTACAACAAAACATCTCACTACAAACACATACAAATGCACACCTTCTCAAATTCAACCCTCAGTTTTGAATCGGGGTGAACTTTAGGTAAGCTTCAAGCAGCATTATGGGCGAGTGAGAAAAACAAGCTCAGCAGGAAAAAGCCTCCTTTTGGAAACGAGATGCATTAATACCCTCACGCACCGTAAACAATGCTCTTAAATTGAGGTCAACTGACCATAAAACTTAAAGGACAGGTGAACTTGACTTTTTCCATAATAATAATGATGATAATGATGCAAGAAATTACAGTCACCTGGCACACATCATCATGCTCAACGAACAACAAGAAACTGAAGTCCGTCTGAAATAAAATCACAGTGTTTCGTTTAAAAAACCGTAACCGCAATTGATCCAACATAGTTTCATTTTGTTAGCAAAAATTACAAGTGCTACAATTTTTGGACTGGGGTCGCTTAGCACAGCGATGAAAAACCCATTTAGAATACGAAAACAAACGGACTTCTCACAATCCAACTTTATTTATCAAAACAAACCCACATTATCGCTGTTTAAAAAGACACGAATCAACCAGTAAAACATTTCTGTGTTCTGACGGAACCCATTATACCCTTGTAATCGAAAATCAATTTTGAGGTAAATGTGTTTTAAAAGGGGGATCAAAGAAAATGACCAAAGATCACAAAGAACTTAAACATCAGAACTTTTCATTCATGCATGGTAAAGGGAGGTGGCAACACGGATGGGTATAGTTAAAGTTTAAATCACGCAACCGGAAAACAAATGCACCATCTTAATGAATGAAATAAATCACTGCGCCCTTACCTCAATTTCAAAGTCTGGTAAATTGAAAGCGGTCCTGAATAAGGAGCAGAAATGAGCTATGGCAGGGACTTCCCACCACGAACGGATTTCTTCCACAGAAACTGTACATTCCTGGGACATTTTCCAAAGGTGCGAGGTATATATTATTTTACATCAGTGGGGGAAAAGGTGGCTTGCGATTTTTTTAAAAGTTTTCTTTTGCTTGGAAAAAAAAAACTTATCTTTAAAGAAACCAAAGTTGTTGTTGCATCAAGTCAGTTGCCATTGCAACCTGGAGAGTACTACAATCTGCTTCAATCTGAATTTCACAAGTAGGGAACAGATGGGGGGGAGCTACCATCTCAGTAGAGTAGGGGGAGTTGCCGTTAAACCCAGTGTGTCCTTGAGTGCAGTCAGCCTGGAGTTCTTATACAGTAGCATCTCCGCTGTGATCTACAACGAAATGTCCTCTTTCAAAAAAGCTTTGCTTGATTGTACCTCTTCGGTGTAGCGAGCTCCGCGTTGTTTTGTGAAACTTTTCCCCCCGACTCGGCTCTGTAGTCGAGGACCCAGTTAAAGGGAATGCTTGCAAGGGTCCCTGTGTGAGCTTGAAAGAAGCGCTCGTGCAGAGTGGGCACATGGAGGTATCCTGTAGCGTGGAGCATCCAGAGAGGGAGCGCAATCACATTATCTTAGTACACACTGCTGGGGGTGGGAAAGGGGGAGAAGCTTGGCGGACAATGATAAGCCGCGATGGCTGTTTTTTGTGTGGGGGGTGTAGCTACGGTGTGGACCGGTTTAACACCCACAACATAAACCTTTCTAGCCTGTCTCCCCCTATTAAACAATAACACATAACATTAAGTGCAAAGAAAATGTCAAAGTTAAAAGCAGAAGATTCGGTGTCGGTAAAGGAGCTGAGAGATTTTTGTTTTGTGTTGAGCAGTGTTGCCTGTAGTATGCCGAGTCGCACACAGTATTTTAGTAGACAAAGGAGGTCAGTCATTTCTTAGATTGCTGTCAAAACCTTATATGAGCACAGAGAACGTGAAGTATTTCTATATTTGCGTGTCTGAGTTTAGACTTAAATACTTACCATTTTGACAGTTCACAGCACTTTGTAAATTTAACGTCCTTAAAGAATTGTATTATAGAAAGATGTGTTGTCGATTCAAATTCAAATCTGTGATATTAATGAATAAAAAACTCGTTAAATCCTGTTGTAGATATTTGATGCAAGAGTCGGATTTAACTTTGCCTCTCTTGCGCTCGCCTAAATTCATACCAATGTTTTGACCTGACATCTTTAATATTTATTAGTGTTTTTACGGCGCTCAGCTTTTTCGTGATTTACAGCGCCTCCTGGCGTAAAAGAGGTAGACATGTACATAACGTTCCACTAGAAAAACCCAACACTATTATGATAATCTCTTAACTGTTAAATTCAGTTTTTTGTATAAATTGAATTCACAATGAAGTGCCACGAAAAACTTTACCAGTCCTTGTTTTGCGTGTAAGGACAGACAATGCAGTACATATCACTAACCCTGTATGTCGAATATACACGATTTACTGAGTTTTCTTGTTCTGACAAATTACATTTGAGTTCTAACTCATTTTTCAGAGCGAAATCAGTTCTGTATCCATTCCTTAATCTTTTAATTTTCTTTCTTGTTTTTGTGACTGTGCCAAACATGCGAGGACCCTACAATTGTACAAGATAGGTGTGCTTGGCGTACACATGGAAACAACCAGCTTTATGTATAAGCTTTTGCTATGTCAATTCTGTATATATTCAAGCATCTATAATAAATGTATGAATTTACTTTTTTACTTTCATCATTCAATAAACAGTGGGTTTAAATACAGTGTTAGACTCGTTTCTCCCACGTGAGATGGGGCATCACATTTCAGTTTGACTCAGTTTTGGTTTAATTACATTGTTGTTTTGTTAACCCGCACACTCGCGGCTGTGACATCTGCCAAGGTAGATGTTGCGATGGGCATCAGTCTCCAGAGATAACAGGGCCCTGCGCTGAGCTGTTGCTAGGCGACCGAGAACCCAATGGTGTCCACAGAGACATACCTTGGCCCAAAGTGCATTTCTCATCCATCAACCCCTCACGCCTTCTGTGGAGCTATTTCATGGTTCTTCGGGACTTGAATGTCAAACATGTTTGACTCATTTTGTTGGGCTTCAGTCCCTGGCCTAACGAAAGATGGACGCTTAATTGAAAGAAAAGGAACACCGAAGGTAATTATTAGCCCCACGATTATTTAGATGACCTTTACCCACAGAGACCTCCATTCAAGATGCAATTAACAGAACTGCACCATATGCGTGGTGGAAGGTTACATGGAGTGTAACAAAATGTTTAAAAATATAAAATCTAATATATTGCAAGAAAGAAATAGCAGGAAGAGAACTGAACTGGATTCTTGTCTAGCTTTTACTGTAGTTTCTAATACGGCAGGTAGATTATAGACACAGTAAACCATTTTACATTCAGTGACAGTTTTTTTAGGAAGAACTAAAAACTCGCTGAGGAATATTAATTAACATATTGTACCGACTGTTTAGTTTGAGATGAGTTTCAAAATCAGGTTCATCCACGGCATTTGTAAGAAATGGTACCGATAATATTGAATCATTTTGCTATCCTGGGCCGATGTACAAAATGAAAAAAAGTGAACTCTTGATGTTTGACAGTTTGAGTCTGTGTGCTGTGTGTGAAAAAAAGCTTCTGGAAGGTAACAGTCTAGTGTGAGTTTTCTTTCAAACCATGGAGTGGCGGTGCCACACAATTTAGCTACTCACGGAGGGATATTACAATGGTAATTTGAAGCCTTTACCTTCGTTGCCTGTGGTTTCTGCACAAACTTTTTTCCCAAAGTTCATTTACTTTTTATACGAGAGCTGGATAAAAGCTCGGGCTTCTATCGTTACACATAACCCTCTGTACCACCCAGACCCTGGGGAATGTCTCCTTTGAAGCATCCTCTCTGTTTTTCTCCCCCAGTCCTCCCTGGGTAAAGACTGAGGAGGAGGCTGTTTGTAATTTGACACTTGCTACACTGGGGAAAACAGTCAACCACTGCTGCAGCTGGAATACATTAGGTGGGCTGGCTTCTCATTGGCTCTGCCTGAGAGGCACAGGCTTAGCTGCTATTCAAGACAAGTCCGCCTCTTTCACAAGGGACTGTGCATAATGCTCAAATCGGTCTTGGAGTGTACAAAACAGCAACTGTTAAAAGAAGTTCAGCACCATAGGGAGGGCACGAAATGAACAGTAATTTGAAAAACAACACAGCTACTCTTTACAGAGGAAAAAAGCAGAGTAGGTGACCAATTAATGGCATGCCACATTTGTAACATTGTTGTTATGGTGTTCAGTTTTCAAATGTTTAGTGTTTGAGAAGAAGTTTCCAACTGGTTACAAGAAGAAAAGAAAAACACTGGTTAGCCTCTGAATGAAGACAAAAATAGAACCTTTAGGTTTTTGTGTTTTAACACTGTCATGAGCTGGGAAATCAGATATTTATTTATTCACCAAACATATTATTATAATTGCATTTGTTTCTATGCTAACTACTTCCGACCTTCTACATTATTGTATTAATTAACACTGAAATGCAGTGTTTGCTTTTTAATTTTCATGAAAGTAATACTGTACATTTGCATTCTGACCTTAAGCAAAAACAGCCAAAAGAAAATACATCTTTCCCTTATAAAACACATCAGTATGGTCACTTAGAACGGTTCTTTAGATATTGCATAAAATTCAACTCTTAAACAAGTTTTTTTTCTTGCACAAAAGGTGTTTCATGCATTGGTAGCTCTGCTTCTTCCGTCATCAGCCAATTTAAAGAGGGTTTTAGTATTATTATTGTCAAATACACAGCTGCTCACATTTATCAACCAAAAAAAAAGTCAGGAATGGAAGAAAATTCTTTCAATGGCAGAAAATAATTTCAATTCTTTCAAATAATTTCTGAAAAACAGGTGTCACCAAAATATTCAGTTCATTTGGCTGCTGCTTTTTTCCAGTGTGAGTTCTCTAATAATAAATTTGCAATATTTATTATATATATATATTGGTATGTGCCAATTAAAAAAAAAACTTTTAAGAGTGTAATTTTAAGTAGATCAGTCTAACAGACATGGAGGATAAATGCAGTTCTTTATATTACACAGTGAATAAATCTATACAAAGTCACAGGTAAGCATGTATGTGAGGCACACAGCATAGCAATTTTTTAGTCATGCAAGTGAAAAAAACAGATCAGTTGGAAGTACTTCAAATCTATGTCTCGGTTTGATATGGCAGTGGTAATCTCATAGTTTTTAAATATGTTGAATAAAATAACCCACTAATGTATTTTACAGTTAAACTGTATGTAAATATATGTACAGCATTTGTTCTATATAAACATCATAATTGTAAAGTTGGATTACTTTATTCAAAATAATAGAAAATAGTTAAATGTAAGCATGCTCCTTTCAGTTACAGTAGTTACATCAAGCACACGGGCCCCAAAATCAGTATAACTTATCAAGTTCCTGTTTCCAATGATAATACCTCTCAAGTATTATTCATTTATACCCCAGGAATAATCAAATACGCGAACCTTTAAACATTTTTTTTATTAAAGGACTGGTGAAATCATCTCAATATATACATATATAACAGTATATAATCTCTGTATAGGTTGCATATATTCTCCATTACTGTCCACATTTGAAGTCCAGTCTCAGGCAAGAGATAAAACCGCGAGATACTTTTAAAATCACTGAACAGCTTACGAGTCCAAAAGAGAGTGAGAACAGTACTTTAATGAAGATACAAAAGTGAGTATTTGTGAACGGCCCCTTAGTTGGATTATGCTCTCCAAGAATATATCTACTTGACTACGGTTGCTTGCTCATATTGTTAGACCGAAAGGGAGTGGACAACATATCCTGTGCAAGAGATGAACTGAAAAGGGGTAAGTGCTAAAAAATCATCTTAATAAAAACATTTTTATAAAAACAAAGAAAGGTATTTTTCACAATGTAGTTGAAATGAATATGCACAAGAATGTGGGCATACTTACTTTTATTCCTAAACTTAAAAAACTGATGTCTTATTTTTCTGAAAGCACAGCTAAAGCATAACTGGCTTGAAAGAAATTCTTAAAGCATTTTTGTGCCTTCGCAATACCGCTGGGAAAGTCAGAGAGACTGGGACAACTACAACTCCATTAAAGGCCAGTTTCTGGGAAGTATCAAAGCAGTTTAAGAGTCTGTGACCAATTATATATCTACCCAGACACAACCATTGTATAAAAATAATTTAGTATTATAGATAATGATGAATAAAAAAGCGTAGAAAGAGTTTTGCTTTTTGTGATTTGTTTACTAATCTTTTTTATTTATACCTGGAAAAACTTAGAAGCACTGAATGGAGAATCTACATTACTGGAAAAGTCTTTTTTTATTGATAAATTAAAAGCAGGTTGCCCAAAACTGATTTTCCAACTCGGTTTTTGTCACACTCCTAGATGTCCTGACCGAATCGGGCGTGTGTCAGGCAGTAGAAATCAGTGTATCAGAAAAGGGCAGGTTATGATGCATCAGGCTGGAGAGGCTATATAAACGTTACCTAAATACTACTGAGCTCAGTGTCTTTTGGATTTCATTTCAACTCTGGGTATTCATACAAATAATTATTTACAAAATCGTTTAATAATTTTTTAAAGACTTTTCAGGTTTGTGATTTTTTTAACAATAAATGATAACTAAGAGTAAATAAAACACAACTTTAGTGCTTCACAAAATCAGGAAAGGAAATGCTTTTTTAAATTAATGTATATCAAAAGTCCAATTCTGGTCCTGAAGGGTTTTAGTGTGCGTGTGGATTTTCAAGGTCTCTTGAAAGAAACATTTATACCATTAAATCTCATCCAGTTAAGCTGCTAACCAGCTGGTTTAGCTCTTTAAGAGCTGGGATGGAATGAGGAGCCAGCAGACACAAGGGCCTTCCAAGACCAGGACAGGACAGTGTGAGTCGAAGGTCCCCAATCCTAAAGGACCTGTGTGCTTTTGAACTCCAACTATGCCCTTAATAACCTGAACTGGCTCATTATTGGTTTGTTTGATTCAGTTTACCAGCCTCTTCCAGCTCTTAAGGGGATAGTTCTGGTACTAAGAGCTAGGAAACCTGTAGACACACAGGCCCTCTGGGATCTGGATAGAGGACCCCTGGTCTGAGCCTTATTTTCCCTGTTGAAATGGAAAGGTTTCTTTTGCCTATCTTGTCTGAAAATATTTACACCTTTGTGATGTATACTGCCCTGACTTCTTCCGAAGATTTGATAAGTGGTATCTGTTACAATTATAAGTTGTTGCACTTGTTACAGGTTGTCCAGGTTAAATTGAAAATGCAAGAATGCAAGTCAGTAGTGGAAATTCAGCTTGACATTTTGAATTATGGCATTATTTATAGCAGTATTTACAGGTTGATGGCAGTTTGCATAATGTGTGTTTAGACTGAAATATGGTTTAACCAAAGTTAATGTGGTTGGAAGTGAAAGGAAATCTATAGCAATCTGATTGTCTGAAGATAGATACCCTGGTATCTGACTAACCTTAACATCCCAATCAATCAAACAGTCAATCCATCAATAAACAACTTTGTACACAACGCTGTCTGCATAATAGTATCTATTACATTAAAAAACACTGAAATGAGTCTCTGTGCCGCATGTACTGTAGGTGTGTGTTCTAGTTCACAGGGGGCTATTTTACTGTTTTCCTTAATTACTAACATTTTACTAATTTAAATTAACAGCACTATTTCTAAAAGTTCTGCATGAATGAACACTGCTGGAGTAAAATATTCTTTTTGTTTCTTTTTAATTCACACAGAGGCTGAAGGGAATTGACTGTCAACATATTCATTCCCTCTTATTTAATGTTATGTAGAAGGTTACCAAAGTGAGGGTTACAATGTTTACTTTTTTTCTAAGTTGACAAACTGTGTCTGTATCCCTTAAAAGAGTGTCTTATTCTGCAATGTATTCAATCCAGCCCAATGCGATAATTGAACAAAAAAGAACATTGTGTGTGACATTTCTTAATTAATTATCAGTTTAGCAATAAAGGAACTAGCTGGAGCAAAAAGGGTATAGAATGGAATCCCTTGTTTGCTGTATTAAAACATGTATTCTGCTATACCATGGTCTAACCATGGATTTATATTTGCTTTGTTGAAGTTTCCCAAGTGTTCATATTACGATCTGCCATTTTCATATATGTTTTTCCCACATTTAGTTCTCTTCCACCATGTCTCTACCACAGTTAACATTCAGACAGTACAGCCTCTTGTCGGAGACCAGTGTTTGTGTGCATAGTTTTTGAAAATCAGGAATGATGACAGGTATGTTGTGAATGTAAGGAAATATTTCTTCAGCACAAGAAGCAAAAGTTGATTAGGTGCATGCAAGCATGATGAGAGGCAAAAACCACAACGAATACTTCCTTTTGTCCTTCAGATCCCAACTGCAAATTAATTTGCCTCATTTACTGGCTTCTTGGCTTTTCTAAATTCGATCTGTTTTAGGTTTGCCAGTTCCAGATTAAACTGACAAGATAAGTTTTTGTTTCCACAATGCCTCTGAATTGAACTAAGTGAATAGGGCTGATTCTTATCCCAAATAATTCATACTGAACTTTTTCTAAAATCCAAATCAGAACAGCATGTAACCAACAAAAGGAAGGTTTATAGTAAGCTAAAAGCTTTTTTTCAAGTAATGTAAAGCCAGATTTTTATTTCATTCATCACAAACCATAGCTCATATCTCAGGATTCACATGCAAATAATATGCAGATAGATGTAAATCACTATTTTTCTTCTCACATGGTATGCTCAGAGGAAACTTTTGTTGGTTAAAAATGAGCAAGACAAATTGTTTAATCGTGTTTCGGTTATACCATAGAGTAAAGGCAAGTTGAAAAACAAGCGCCCGTGCTAATCTGTTAAGCAGTTAAGTGTCCTGTTTAATGACTGCTATTACTTTGCTCAGTGAAGTGATAAAAGTCCAGTGCCAATTAATATATGTTAATTAATTGTATGCAGTCAATGTGCAAAATATATCCATATCATTTTTCAAAATGAAAGTTTTACCAACAAAATCAGATTTTACACTAAGCTACATTTGTTTTCTTCAAGTTATGTCAAAGTTATGTTAAAACATTTTTAGATATCACTCAGCTCATATCCCAGAATTCTCATTTAGAAATAATAGTGTAATAATAACTATATAAGATATATAACATTATAAAATTATAAAATAACTTTATAACCAAGATAGTGTAAATAACTACAGTATATGTATTTCCTATGCATCCCCAACTTCCGAGCAGTTTGGAAATTGAAGTTGTCAATCCTCTTGGATCTTGGCTAAGGTGTTCATAACTGCACAGGAACATGTCCTTGGAAAAATGCGCATCTCCATTTTGATTTTGCACTGTAAGTGCCATGGCACCTCCGGTTGAGATAGTGTGAGGGGAGGACTCACAGGGGTTTATTTAATCTATAAGCTCAAGGCTGAGGAAACCCAGGTTAACCCTTTCCTACCCCCAGCCAAACAACTGTCCAAGCTGCACTGCTTGAGTACATCTGCTATCAGACTTTCAGCTACCAGTGTCTGCACTACTAATATATCACTCAACACTATTGCATCAGGTGTGCGTAGTCCTGGTCCCAGACTTTGCCTGACTGGGTAATTTATTCCCAGTAAAGACCTTTTATCTTGTTGTCTGTGCCATTAAATGGATGCTTTATAATGTTTTATACGTGAATGAATTGTTTTTGATAATAAACAAATATGTATTTGATAAAAATATATGGGGACTGGTTGTGTTAAATGAAGGCATGGAGTGTTTCTTAACACATTCTTTGAGTGACATTAATATTATTAATATTAGAAACTTATAGGTTCTAACTTAACTTCATAATAAAGTTAAGTTAGAAGCATCAAGACATGATTAAAACGATGTCTTGATGGTGACAATTCTATGATTAAAAGAATACAACAGTATCCGTACATTTTACCTGATACTGTGCTTCAGTATTTCATACTATTCCAGTAGAATTACAATCTGTGCTCTGGGCTTCTAAATAATAATAATAATTGCTTACACTTATATAGCGCTTTTCTGGACACTCCACTCAAAGCGCTTTACAGGTAATGGGGACTCCCCTCCACCACCACCAATGTGCAGCATCCACCTGGATGATGCGACGGCAGCCATAGTGCGCCAGAACACTTACCACACATCAGCTATCAGTGGGGAGGAGAGCAGAGTAATGTAGCCAGTTCATAGAGGGGGGATTATTAGGAGGCCATGATTGGTAAGGGCCAATGGGAAATTTAGCCAGAACGCCGGGGTTACACCCCTACTCTTTTCAAGAAACGCCATGGGATTTTTAATGACCACAGAGAGTCAGGACCTCAGTTTTACATCTCATCCTAAGGACGGCGGCTGTTTTACAGTATAGTGTCCCCGTCACTATACTGGGGCATTAGGACCCACATGGACCGCAGGGTGAGCGCCCCCTGCTGGCCCCACTAACACCTCTTCCAGCAGCAACCTTAGTTTTTCCCAGGAGGTCACTTATCCAGGTACTGACCAGGCTCACACCTGCTTAGCTTCAGTGGTTGCCAGTTGTGAGTTGCAGGGTGATATGGCTGCTAAATGTCCCAACCCCTCTAGCGTCAGCATGTCTAGAGTGAAAAATCAGAATCCTTTTTTTACATTTAGCTTTTTTAGATTTTTATATTGCAAGGCATAAAAGATCTGCCAACTCAAACAATGCTGGAATGCAAGTGCAAATGCAGCAAATATTTCATCTTGCTAATGCTGGTCAGTTTCCTAAGGTGACCAGATTGTTATATTGTATAAAATGACCTCTGTCTGTGGTATACAATATTTATATTGGTTTTTCACAGGGTATTCCAGGAGGTGTTTGGACCTGGTGTTGTATCGAAGAAGGACCGGGTTTCCAAAACCTCATAAAGTATCTGAGTATTTTTTGATCTTCATAACAATTGCAATGGCAGACCAAAAACTAAGGTAGGCCATTGTTTTTCTATTTCCATCCTTGTCCAACATGTATAATTCACTTAGGTTCACATACAGCTAACCACAATGAGATGACAATGCGAGTATTTTACTTCCACTTCAGAGTATTATTATTTGTATCAGTATTAGTATTGAATAAGGCTGAGATCATCCATGGTTCGCTAGAATCTACTATGGATCAGAACTTCTATGGCAATATTTAGGGCCAGTTTTTCTCCTCAGCCACCCAACTTGGGAACATACTTTTTTCACTGTATTTGACCCCAAAAAAATGGTGTGTGTAGTTTTCCATGTAGTGATAACAGTAATTCTTAGCCATTATAAATTAGTGATTACCAAATACTACACAGTACTGTATAGGTATCAACCTCAGGTCTCAGGGAGAGTTGGTTTCAATTTATTCAGTAGACCTTTTTTATCCAAAGTGACTTATACTAGTGCCTGTTTATTCAGCAAGGTATTTTAATGCGGCTATCTGAGTATAGTGTCTTGGTAAAAGGTACAACAGCAGTGCCTCACCCATGATTTAAACTCAAAGCCTTGCACACTGCTGCCTGAATTGGTGACATATTTAAAAAAAATCACTGTTCTATTCATTTATGAGTCACAGGCTCTGTAGAAACACATCACATGATGTACGATACATGAAAAACAAAGTTAACATAACATAATAAACAAACATGCTGCTATTCAAGCACAGCTTGGTAAGTTTGATATATTTATATTTAAAAAATAGAATACATTTTAATGGTCTTTAGACCAGAACTTGGGCCTTCTACCTATATGTGTTTCACAGGTCAGCATCCCAGGGAAGTCAAACCCAGACTCAGAGAGGTTGCCGGGGCCTCTGGTTTTGTTCCAGCTCAAGCGTGCAGCTAATTTATTTTATTGATGTTTTTTAGGTTCAAGTGGACACATAATTTTTATATTTTTCCATTTATAATCCCAAGTATTTTTGAATTGCATGTCATCCTACAGTATGTTATGGTTTAAACTAAAAATAAATGTTTAAGAAATACTGGAAAAACATATGTCATCACTTAACATCAGGTGAAGTCAAGAGCATGTCTCCTATAAACTGATTTTTTAAAATTGCACTTGTCTTGAGGACACATAATGTTTCCAGAGAAAGAGAATCCCCTGTTATTGACATCTGTTATCTGTTCCCTTCAGTCTCCCAGCAAAGCTGATTAACGGCGGAGTGGCTGGGCTGGTGGGGGTGACTTGTGTGTTCCCCATTGATCTGGCCAAGACTCGACTTCAGAACCAGCAGGGACCACGCCTCTACACCGGCATGTGGGTACACGAGCATTGTGGGTAACTGGTGTCTGCTGTTCACAGGGTCGAAGGTCACTCTTCAGCCTGTTCCACGCAGACAGGAGGGCCAGAGTTTGGAGGAGGAGGTGTTGCATTTCTTTTTCCATCATTATATAAACTAGAGATTTTTTTAAATTATTTGGAAAGTCTTCTTAATGGTATTTAATGGTTTACTTATGATAATCATCATCTTATGCAATTGGCTTGCTTTATGTATTTTGGAGAACATTTTTTATAAAAATATGAATATCAAGACATGTTCATCTAAATACTGTAAACAAGAGGTAAATTGTAGATTAATGTTGTTCACTGTGGTGTTGTCTGCCCAGATAAGGACATGCTTTTTGTACAGCTCAGGGATAAAATTTGATGCAGCACCACCATTGATAGCTCCTGTTTCGTACTGCACCACAGCCTGTGTTGGAAAGGTTTGTCATCTTGATTTCCCTAATGTTGGCTTGTTAATCAGGGTTTGTGGGTAATGGGATGGGAGGTGGGAGGGAATGTAGTCAGGAGTGCTATCATGGGCTGTAGCATTTGTTTTTGGAAGTGCTCCAGAGATGTTATCAGCTTATTGTATTAAGCTGTAGGAAAGTGACTATATTGACTAGGTTCCATTAGCACTAGTTAGAGGTGGAAGTGAAGTACTGACTGGAACCCAAAGTACAGGATTGTTTAATTGAGTGGATAAAAATAGTGTCTCTTCGGCAGTTAAAATACAAATACAAATTCAAATTTCAAATTCAAATGAGCTTCATTGACATGATCAATGAATGACAGTGTTAAAGCAGAAACAATAAACAGAAAAATTACAGACATTTACAGGATAAACATATTAATGGCCACATGAACATTTACAGACATCACACCAAACATTAGTATGAGACAGGCTTACTGTTTGTTCCTCAGGCTGTGACAGGAGATCACATACTGGACTGACAGCTCTATTGAGTTTCCTCCCTTCTCCCCCATTAGCATTGAAAGCTGTTTTGATACTGGCAGGTGTAAGAATTCTGGGATTAATTGTGTTATTTTAGGGAAGAATGTTTCTCTAATCGCTGAGTATTTCTCGCAGTGCAGCAGAAAGTGCCTCTCTATCTCTGCTTCTTCCTGCTGGCAGTGGGAGCAGAGCCAGTCCTCTCTGGGCACCCAGGTGTTCGAGTTTCTATGGTCAGGCTGTGGTCGGGGTCTGTTTCTCAATATTAATATCACTGGATGTTTGCAGTATCACTGATGCACTGTCACACATCACTGTAGTGACAATATAAACAATTATTTTATTAAACACATGAGCTGATATACACAATCAAAACTAGTACAAAACAGTACATTGCAGTGTGGAAGGTGGGCAGGAAATAAACTGTAACTTTAACACAGGCTTACACTCCACTCAAAGCGCTTTACAGGTAACGGGGACTCCCCTCCACCACCACCAATGTGCAGCATCTTCCTGGATGATCATCACCACAGTGTGATACGGCCAATTCATAGATGGGGATTATTAGGAGGCCATGATTGGCCAACTCCAGGAGGTAATTTGGCCAGGACACAGGGGTTCACACCCCCACTCTTTTTGAGAAACGGCCAAGGATTTTTAATGACCACAAGAAGTCAGGACCTTGGTTTTATGTCTCATCTGAAGGACAGCACCTGTTTACATTATGGTATCCCCATCACCCCATCACTGTACTGGGACATTAGAACCCACACAGACTGAAGGGTGAGAGTGAGCGCTCCCTACTCGTCCCACTAACACCTCTTCCAGCAGCAACCTCAACGTTCCTAGGAGGTACCGCCCAGGCTCACACTTGCTTAGCTTCAATGGGTTACCAGTTGTGAGTTGCAGGGTAATCTAATCCATCTAGACAAAAAATAACTTCAAAATGAGGTTAATTCAGCAGCAGAAGTTAGTAAAAAAAAAGCTCACACACAAAGATGGCTCCACAGCCGAAACGTTGTGTTTTCTTTCTTCTCTTTTCTGCATGGAATAAATCTATTACTTCTTCCTTTGCAGCCTATGCAGCAAACACAGCTACCCACCTGAAGTTAGTAAATTTTTGGTTTTAAAGACATGCTTCAGGAGCCTATCTCAGTGTTGGACAAAGTGCCTCCAAATGGTGAACAAATTCATGAACCATGTAAACTGGTATACTTCAGTTCCAAGAAAGTGACCTTGGCTCTGATGAGTGAGGAAAATTCTCAAAATGCTATAAGGGGTTGTGTGGTTGGGGAAAGCGGGGATCAACCACAACAGGATAAGGTGGCAGGTATTAAAAACTGAACTCGCCCAAAGGTGAAAAGACAAGTATGGTCCTTATTGGATCTTATCAGGTAGGATTGCCTTTAGTTTGCCAGGATCACAAAGCTCAAAGTTCCACTTTCAGACCTCACAAAAATGCACCTAATGTAGTATGGTGCACCTCAGAGGCTGTTTTTTTTTTGCAGATTTGACAGGGTGGTATGTGAACTCTATATTCTATCTACATAAAGACGCTTCTCCTTGGTGAGGTTTTATTCCAGGTTTGGGATGTAGCACAACACCTCATACTGTACTTGAGTAAACTACTCTTTAGATAGAGGATCTATGCTGTGTTTGAAAAGGAAGGTTTAGCTGTCAAATGGGCAGTGAAGACCCTACAATATTACTTTCTAGGTTCTAAGTTTGCATTCATTTCAGACCATACCCTTCTGACCTGCTGAATAAGGAGAAGGAATGTTAAATAAGAAGATGAATGCCTTTGTGATCCTATAGTTTCATCTATTTTTACAATCAAACAGTGCAAAGGGAGTCAATATGGAAATGCTGATACTCTGTCCAGGGCAGGTTGACTGTTGAGATGTGTAACAGAGCAGCTGGAACTGGGAGTGCCAATACTGGTTTCAGTCACTTGAGGTTGGCTTAGGGACACTCCAGAGAGAAATAAAAGGTACACATTTGCACAAGGTGGTTAGAGGAATCAAATAGATTTGATGGTGATCAGATTCCTGAATGAAAAGTTTCAGAACACAGGGCAGATTGTCCACTCCTGTTATGGGATTAGACCAGTAAAGTCTCAGGGGGGAAAAGTAAGGTTAAGAATCTAAGCTCTGTGGTTAATTTAGATTAGTAAAGTCTCATGGTGAGGTAAGTCTGTGGATTAAATGGTACAGTCTCATAGTGAGACAAAATAAGCCAGTTAAAAGTCTGAAATAGCAAACCCAGCTGCTGGTGGTCAGAAACCCTGATATTTGTTATTACGATAGATCAGATCACTTTATTAGCCATATACAATTTCTTGTATTAGGAATTTGTCTTTTCACATACCACAGCTTGCTCTCCATGAGACACACAGACAGGGAGAGAAGCTTGGGGTCAGAGCAGAGGGTCAGCCATTGCTTGGGTCAGCCAGTGCCCCTGGAGTAGCTGGGGTTATGGGCCTTGCTCAGGAGCCCAACCGAGTAGGATTCCTTTGCCAGCCACAGAATTTGAACTGGCAACTTTCCAGCCACAGGTGCAGATCCTTAGCCACAGTGCCAGCGCTACACCCAAGATGTTATTGAGATGTGACCTGTGACCCAGGACAAACAGGATCAGCTGGTTAGGTTTCAGAACAAAAGAAAAACAGGAAAGGCCAGTAGGTCATGGACTAAAACTAAGGTTGGGCTGGCCTCAGCCCCAGTCCCAAATTTCTCAATAGAGAATGGAATTCATGTGCATAGGCTCTGACACAATGCTACTGGTTAACTGGGACCACATTTTCAGTAGTGCTGAAATGTGTTACATTTAGCTAGGAGCCTGAAGACTGGGGAAATAACCCTACTGTTTCAAAAAATTAACATAGAATCTATAATGGCCAAATAGTCAGGACCTCAGTTTAACATCCCTGCTCACCCTGCAGTCCATGTGGGTCCCTAATGCTGCAGTATAGTGATGGGGACACTATACTGTTGAAGAAAGATATAAGATGTGAAAATGGGGTTAGCTGATTTCTTTCTGCACAAAGACTTCTTGTAACACAAAACATTCCATGCTTAGGCACCTTTGAGTTATGGCAGGGATGGGAGTTAATTGATATGAAATTCCAAGTGTAAGATAAAGACCCCCCTAACTAAGGAAAAATAAAACCGACCATTAAAAGTGTTCAAGGTCTTGGGAATGTCCAAGCACAGGTGGCCTTCCCATTACCATGGTAGCAATTTGCGTCAGAAGTGGACGAAATTTGCTATATAAACTGGACGCTTTGTACCTATATTTTGAACAATACTTTGGTCTTATTGTTCCTTGCATGCAATAAACTCAGTCATCTTGGGTCCCAGAACTTATTTGTCTGTTACTACACTGTAAAAAGGCACTGTCCTTTGGATGAGATGTAAAATCCAAGGTCCTGACTCTCTGTGGTCAGTAAAAACCCCAGGGTGTTTCTCAAAAAGAGTAGGGGTGTAACCCCGGGATCCTTGCCAAATTTCCCATTGGCCCTTACCAATCATGGCCTCCTAATAATCCCCATCTATGAATTGGCTTCATTACTCTGCTCTCCTCCCCACTGATAGCTGATGTGTGGTGAGCGTTCTGGCGCACTATGGCTGCTGTCGGATCATCCAGGCGGATGCTGCACATTGGTGGTGGTGGAGGGGAGTCCCCATTATCTGTAGAGTGCTTGGAGTGGAGTGTCTGAAAAAGCACTATATAAGTGTAAGTAATTAGTATTACTATTAGTATTAGTATTAGTATTATTATATATACTAAGACTTCAATTGCCATGCAAATGATTAAATGTCACGAATGCATCAATATTTATTTCTAAAGCCCCTAACAATCTAATTATGATCAGTTTAGAAAATGTTTTTTTTAATTACATAATTTAGAGATCATTTAGAACAAAAATCACTATACCTTTTAGCCCTTGATGATCAGAGTTCCCTTAATTGAACAGATAACTTAACTTAAAAGTTATCATAAAAGTTATCATAATCTTTAGTTAATACTTCAATAATGACCTTCAGGACCAGAACTGGAGACTCCTGAAACAACAGCAACAGACAGAACATATGGAGACATGGATCTTTGGATTGAAGGGGGACAGTACTGAGAAGATTTAGGACAAAACAGTATGGGGGTAATTTACAAAAAATGTACACATACTGTCAAAAGACCATATTGGAATTTTTACTTCATACATATATCCACAATTAGGATAAATAGCTTGATAGTCACTGGCACTTTTAAAGCAAAATACAATTATAGGCAGTGATCAGGCCGTAAAAATAAGTCAGTATGCAAGTAAGAGTCCATGTCTGATGGTTGAATTTATAATAAAATGCACTGTGGTAAAGGTGTGGTTGTGCTTGAGCAGTTGAAGTCAGCCTTTCACGCACACTCCTCTTTCAAGACTTTAAATTCTTGTCTCCTCACTGGCTACTTCGTAAGGAGGCTTGAGACAGGAAGGGTTTATCAATTTCTCTGCTGTGAAGTACAGCTACTGGCCCACATGTTATACTTAAGTGCAGGAAAAAATTAGCTTCCTCCTACACGTGCACTTTGTGATGATCACAAGGCATTATTATGAAAAATAAAATATTTTTAGCATTTAGAAAACCACTCAGATATATGAACAATTTATTTTCCTGCATGTGCTGTCCAATACATGTAATGGACAGCTTTCTGGTCATGTTAAAATTGTTTCCATTAACCAGTCCAAAAGCAAAAAAAATGTTCTGTAGTGTCAGTTGAAGGGTGGTTTCTTTGAGGGTTGGGCTGGTTAGTTTCAGCTCTGAGAATGTAAACTCTTTCCTCAGACTTCCTCTATGACTCAGATAGAAAATAACTCCAGCTTGTTCTCTCTTTTCTCCCACTCTTGGCATTAGAGCACAGTGTCACATGGACTTTTCACCATGACATGTGGGAATAAGTAATCTTGTTCTGGCATTTCATTAATTAGGTGGTCTGATTCTTTCTTGTCCAGTCCAATCCTTATACCGTTTTATAACACTCATTACACCAGGAATTCAAACAGTCACTTGTAAAATTTATAAACAAAATTGAAAAATTCAACTGTTTTAGGTAGATACCTTGATGTCTGATTTTATAGATGAAAAATGACAGAGAACAAATTTAATACTTCAACAAACCTTTTTAAAATCAGTACCCAATTACAGTGTAATTATAACTTTATTTTCCAAATATTTTTGTAATTATTTATTTTTAATTAAGATGTTTCACAAAATGTATATCTATTTTAAGGATTTGTTTTTAATTGCAATGGATACTTGCAAATTTGTAGCTAGAATCATTTTTCACAGAATGTCCAGACCAAACAACTTTGTATGTTCTCTGTCTTTGAGTGTCTGTCCTTCAGGCTTCATTTTTAGATATAACTGAAAATGAGGCTCTTAACTACAACAACATTCAGTTGTTTTTTAATGGAAATGTTTTTTAAATCACCGACACACTCTCCTAGTGGTTTATTAATTTGCTGTTGGTTGTTAGTTATTAAAAGATTGTTATTTTGTTGTTGGTTAAAACAGGGCATCTTCGAGGAACTAAGGGGAAAGGGGTCTTTTGCACTTGTTCAGAGAAACAATGTAGGCATTCCCAGTGTAACAAAATGGAATGCTCCTGTTTCCTACTTAAGGTTTTGTGAATATACCATTTCCCTTTAAAAGGAAAGGCAGATAGAAATGTGACAAAATGACAAGTCAGTGGACTGAAAATTATTTCAAACCTGCATGTTGCAAATTGAACAGGGAACTAAGTTATGTCCAAGTGAAATTAAAACTTTGACCTTCCTTGCAATCACAAATTTAAATAAATATATTTCATAGGATAGAAAAAAAGCTATCATCCCATAACATATTTGGCAATGGGTAGCATCAAAAACATTTTCTTGTGCAGTAACTTAAATTGTTTTACATAGCTCTCTTATAGCAATATCATTCCTTTATGCAAGAATCTTGCATTCACCTTTTA